ATTGGCTGTTAGACACGACATAAAATAAACTTAGTCCGGAAATAATGTGACAATCGTTTCGTAAATTAGATACTTAAGAATATGTCATTACATGTGCATGCATGTCAATGATTAACACCAAAATCGTTAACAAAAATCAGGATGACAAGAAATTAGAACGTTCCAAGTGAAAATCACGCGGATAATAAAGATAACATATTTTTCACAAGGATAGCAGTATTTCTCAGTATAAACATAATTGTATATATAATGAAAATGCATTTATTTAAAAATAAAAAAAAATCATTACATTTATTTAAAAAAAAAAACACGAAAACTTTCGCATGCTATTCACAATTCATCTCAATTCCATCTGATATAGGTTTTACAATATAGTTTCCATACAAGCATGTATACAAATGGAGTAGAAAAAAAATATCATAATTGTGTTTATTGTCGGGATGGCGCTGTCTCCACCTGTACGACTAATTGTACTGATAACTATCACTGAAATTCATTCGTTCTTCTACCAAACACAGTAACAAAAGAAAAAACTCGTCAATTAAACGCTGAAATTTCTTCTGAAAGAATCGCAAGCATTGGCGTTCTATACACAAACGTATGTGAAATCTGTCTTTGTACTTCCTCAAGAAAAAACATGTTTGATCTATAAAAAAAGTCTGCCTACTGTTGACACAATAGATATTTCAAACAAATAAGGCCAAGTACCGCCATTTTTTCTGCAATGACTGCGTTAAATGGAATACGAGAGATGAAAGAGTAAATGTTTGGAGTGTATAGACATAAGTCCGAATTTCAATATTAGTCAAAATTATTTATAAAAAAAGAAACGATTCACAGGTCATGTGAAATGGACTGCAGTTTCTTGGTGTGGCCTCTGTGTTTGTGTTAAAGAGAATATTGTTAAGTATTCGAATTAAAAAAAAATTATTCTTTTTAAACCCCCTGCTACACATTTAAGGCAGTAACTTTCTTTGTAATTGTAAAAAGTTCACCGACAAGTGATCAGATAAAAGGTGTGGTACATGTATGGTATTTTATGGATGATCTATGGCACTTTCGATGTCGAGTTTCAAAAGTACATTAAAGTAGAAAAACAGTACAATATGTCTTATCGATATTCATGTACTGTCATCATTAACTTCGCTCTACGTTCTGCCATTCCACACTGTGTCCAGTCCATGTTCCTATCTGTCCTTATTATCTTTAAGCTTTGTACGTCCACACTGTGTCCAGTCCATGTTCCTATCTGTCCTCATTATCTTAAGCTTTGTACGTCCACACTGTATCCAGTCCATGTATCTGTCTTTCCCCACTATGATTAAGCTTTGTACGTCCACACTGTGTCCAGTCCATGTTCCTGTCTTTCCTTAATATGTTTAAGCTTTGTACGTCCACACTATGTCCAGTCCATGTTCCTATCTTTCCTCGCTATGTTTAAGACTTGTACGTCCACACTATGTCCAGTCCATGTTCATATCTTTCCTAACTATGTTCAAGCTTTGTACGTACACACTGTGTCCAGTCCATGTTCCTATCTGTTCTTATTATCTTTAAGCTTTGTACGTCCACACTGTGTCCAGTCCATGTTCCTATCTGTCCTTATTATCTTTAAGCTTTGTACGTCCACACTGTGTCCAGTCCATGTTCCTGTCTTTCCTCGCTATGTTTAAGCTTTGTATGTCTACACTATGTCCAGTCCATGTTCATATCTTTCCTCCCTATGTTTATGCTTTGTACGTCCACACTGTGTTAAAGTCCATGTTCCTTTCTTTCCTCTTGTTTTGGGCGTATTCCTGTCAGCTCTTTGTATTTTCATTGATATTCCATTTCGACAAAGTGATAGTTCGAATAAAAGTATTGTCTTTCACGTGAAAGTTATTCTCGTCAAACAAATTTGGCCCAATTTCCGATTAAGTACATATAATAGGTTTACTATCTGTGTGACGATAATAGGTTTCATAAGAAACGGTGATTTTGGTACACAGGTCCCTTCCATATGAGTTTTTAATGTACATAAATGTCTTTTGATCTGTACAAACTTGAATTTGCTTGTTGTAGTTTTGGTTTGTTTGTAAAGATGACGCGAGGTTTGTCTCCGGACAATATGGTACCGGTATACAGGTGTCAAAATCTGACACACAAATGACGCAATTATCGACCTACTTAGAAATAGACCAAAGATTTCTCAAAGTATTGTGATTTCGGGGCAATCTGTTTTTTATTTGTTCGATGATATTTAAGCGAATCTGTGCCGAAAAATACTTTTGTTGTTCTTCATTAAAAGGTGACATGACCAATGATCACTGTGATCACTACCAGAATACCATGTTCTGTTGTATAAAGCAAAAGCTGTTAACATTGTCATGTGACATACACGTGATGTAATTACAGATTAAGGTATCGAGGGTTAGTGTGTATTCCGTAACTTAAGCTGTTTCTATCAGCGTCTGAAAAGATAACAAATCTTCGAATTCTTCTACATTCTCGTATTTTGATTTGTTTGTACCAACCTCACAACAGTAGTATCAACTGAGCATTCTGAAATGAATATGATCTTCATCTTGTTGACCGTATACAGCGTAATCAATTTGAAATCAAGGACACTACAAACTCCTTTACATCTGTCATTGATCTCTTAACTTGCAATATGGCAAACATGAACATTATATTTCAAAACTTTAAAATCGTGATGATTTCTAAATCAATAACATCCTCAAATATTTGACATTTGCTTTTCTTTTCGTTAACGTCCCTAAGGCCTGCTTCCATCACCTGCTGTGTTCACAGTGCGAGGGATTGTACACTCAAAGGTATAGTACTTAAATGATTTAATTTTCCAATAGCTTTGTTACCGAAATTGCGATTTCCGACAAAAGTGTCGAATATTGACAGATAAACTTATAATAATCACTATAATGATAGGGAACTTCTGATGTCGGTGTGCAACATGTAGTTTTTGTATGTTGATACTCGTAAGTATCACTGCTGGTTCTACTATCATTTTCCTTGAATTCTCTTTGAGAACGTGACATTATTTTGATTGACCTAGATTTATATTGTAGATTTCGTTTTGAAGCTTGCAGAAGTATATTACTCTCTGACCATCCACACATGGAATCGTTACAAACAAAATGACCTTGTGGTCGCTGTCACTTAGAGCGACTTCTATTCAAAATTTTCATGGTAAAGTATATAAATCACAAAAATATTCCAAACCAATATTTTCAACTTCGGAGGCACTAGATTTCGTGCAATCTGATTGAGAGCCTAAATACTTTGTTAAAAATTCGGAGATCGTTGATTCTTTTATACATAAAAATGTTAAATGTGGTCATACTATTTCATACGATTGTTTTTATTAAACGATAAACTAACTGGAAACTTTCAATTTATTTGTCGCCCAAATTATACACTCGTTTATCGATATCTTGGACTGATCTTGGTTCAACCGATAGATCACGTGTATATGAAGAATGTGTTGCTTAAGTACGGACAACTGGAGAGTTGATACATGTATGTATGTATGTATGTATGTACGTATGTATGTAATTACGTGACAATATACCAAGTAAACACTATAGGTAAGTATACCAAAGTCACACTAAACTACCCATTCACATATAATATTCACAACAATACACACGGATAAGGAAATATTGAAAGTCGTTTAAAATCTTTTGAATTTTCCAATCCAGGTATCTCTGTGGCCTTTTAACCACAACAACCAACCAATCAAAGCGAGGGCGGTGTAAACAAAATCATTGTGACGCTCACTCTTGACTTTTGACCATGTGTTTGATTAACGAGTTCTCGGCGTATACATGTACACGGCTAATGGTGAAATGTTTGTGCTGGTGAGATGCTGTTGCTGCCATATTCCTATAATTAATCACAAACATGTGTCACAAACAAATATGTGATCAAAAATAAATAAATAAGTAAATAAATATTGTGATAAGTGGTGAAAAGAGACTTTTTACATTTTACTTTACATGCATATAGAATCTTAAATGAGATTCACCTTCATATGAAACTTTATAAAACAAGTTTTTGAAGTTTTCTTCTTGCAAGACGAGTATCATAAAATATCATATGCAACAGAAAAAAATTAAACAGTTTTCATCACATATCTCAGAAAAGTTAAAAGTTATTTTAAATTCAAAATAGACGGTTTTGTCGTGCTATTTTCAATTCATGACGTAACGTCATTGTCCAATTTATGACATCACAATCGATTCGCGACTTGCGCTACCAATGAAAAACGCTCCAGAGTACATTTGTATGTTATAATTAATGTATACGCAAACCTAAATTTCGAGAACACATTGAAAGGCTTAATGTAACCTTTATAAGTATTTTCTTTTTTTTTTTTTTTTTGTTGTTGTTGTTGTTAAATTATCATTCATCACAAGAAGGTTCCAAAATACAATGCAGTATGCTGTGACAACGGATTAGGTATTCATCAAATCTATTCGGTCCTATATGCTCTTTAAAGTCACTGAAACGGGACAATAGATAGCTTAACTACCTGTACATAGTCACATTTTATATGGATGGTACGTCGGACAAAAATAGCAGTTTTACCAAATACACTGCGGTACATATCAGTACAAATTGATCCAGTGTTAAAATTAAAAAATGAAATAAAGTTAATATCAAATGAGGTCATATCATCAGGACAATTGTCAAGCCATTTATTTAATAAATTACGTGTAGTGTTCTGGCAGAGAAGTATAATAGGACACATGTCATTGGTTCAGGCGACCTGGTTGTTAGGTTTTATGTTTTTCCATCTCCTTGACTCCTCCTATTTCTAGGAGTTGCTTCAACATCGAACGTTAGTGTTTTGGCGACGTGTATGACATTTTAAACTGAAGTTTATCCAACACAACACCAATTATATAAGGGAAGTAACTCGTATATAATTCGAACTCTTCAAACTGAAAAACAGAAATCTTACCACTTCCGGTGTTGCGTTTCACGTGGTGTAATTTTGTGGACGGACTTATCTGATATTTTTGACAGTATGGGGAGATATGCAAGGAAAAAACAACACAAAGGCGATAAACCTCTAAAAGAGAAATATCGGACAAAGCGAAAAACGAAAGACTGGGATCAGATAGACGAAGATTTGAAGCCAGGGAACGCCGAAAAGTTGTTAAATCAGGAAACGGATTTTGACAAGCCAGGAGCTGGAAAGTTTTATTGTTTACATTGCGCGTATGTGTTTTTCGTTTTTAACACACGCTTTTGGCTTTTAAAATGTTGAATTATCAGTTTTCGTCAATATATTAATTCAGTAGGCATGTTACAAATTAATGTACTTATATATGACAATCTTTCATACGTCCGTTCGTTCATACATGTGATTGTTTCTTGTTATCATGTTGCAGAAAGTTCCAATAAACTGGACTTAAAAAATGCTTTTTTTTAGATTAATTTTGTTTCTGTTTAATCCACTTTGAGTATACGAACAAAAACTTATACAGCATTTGATATGAATACAATCTTTTAACTCATATTTTAAAAATATGTTTAATTTCAGGAAGTACTTCATCGACACACATGCTATAAAAGAGCATTTTAGAAGCAAGCCACATAAAAGAAGGTAAGATTGACTGCTTCTGTTTCACTATTGGAAGTCTAAATTATGATAAGGACCACACGTCTTTAAGTAGCCAAATTTGTATATATTGATAATTCATACTGGGTATTGTATTCAACATTTTCGACATTACCATATCTTGACATTTAATGAATCCGAGATTATACTCTTACCAAAAACTTTTATTAAATGTATACTTATGCAAGTGATAATACTCTTTTGTAAATTATCATACACTTAGTGTATACGCCATTATTTTCAAATTTGTATAATTATTTAGAATTCTGAGAAACTTATAAATTTATCTTTTTTAATTATTCTGATTGAGGTAAGTGAAAATGGAGGGACGAAACTCTTGCAAAGAGTCTGATTGGGTTGGATTGAGATGAGGGGAAATAATTCATGCAAATGTCACAGGTCCTTAATTATTGCAAAAAGTACATAACATTACATGTCAATCATGCGAGGTCAAACTGTAATGGATGTGATTGGATATATGTTTGTGATAATGATAGTGTATTTGTAATACACATGGAAACAAATGGAAGGGTTATAAATATTGTTGAAAATGAAAAAGTTTAAATGCCTGTACATATATATAGGGTCCTTTTTCATATGTAAATTAGTAGAACGATTACACTGTTTCCTCTAAAAATTACCATCTTTGATGAAATGCAGTAATGCTTTGATCGCAGTAGATTAATAAAAAAAATTCACATCTACCAATGTGTTTTGTGATTAGGTTAAAAGCCTTGGAGTTGGAGCCATACACAATACAAGAGGCAGAAAGGGCTGCGGGAATGGGGTCATATGTAGCACCTAAGAAAAGGAAAATGGAAACACAGTCAATACCAGAGGAAATGAAGACAGATGAAGAAGGAACTTGAAACTGTGGCTGATATTTTGTGACAAGAAAACTGACTTTTTGAAGCTATGATTATGTGACTGTGATAATTTATCAAGAATATATGCTTTGTCATCCCTGGTAATTTGTCAGAAAGATCTTTACAGAGAGAATTATGGTTCTTTCCCTGCCTACATCCTTCATTTGAAACCCAAGTCTATCCACAAATTGACTTGAAAGTATCAGTGGTTGCAAGGAGTGATTTGATTGGCTTACAGCAAATGAATGGCAGTTTGGAACATAAATTTCTCATGTAATGCAGATATCTACCACTTTAGGCCAAATTTGTTTCAGAATGGAAATAATATGTTTGTTTTTATGCATCTACTGGAGATTTGATCCAAAGTTTTGTTCTTACATTCTTCTTCGTCTTATGTTACAAAAACAAATATTTCGTTAGATTTATTTTTGAAGAAGTATTTCTTTTTGTGTTGTCTAAGGTGATGATGAAAATAATGAATTTAGATACAGTATTATCTATAACTGTAGTCAGCAATTCACTCTACCATTTATAATGTTAAAAAGCATCAATTATAACGTCAAATATTAACATGATTTAATTTTACAACTGTATTGCACTTTTTTCTTGTGACAATCCAATAGATTGAAATGCCCAGTGCTGTTGAATTTGAAAGTTTAAACAAAGTTACCATACGTGTAGGTATTATTGTTTCACTCAATATTATGCTGATGAAGAAATTATGAAACATTCTTTGTACATAAAAAGGTGTACCAAGGCCTGAAATAATAAATTTTCTGAATAGAATTGAACACAATAAAATTATCATAAGATGTGAATAAAACTTGTTAGATTTCTTATGTGTATATTGTAAGTCACCAGAGGGCAAATCTTTTCTCTTGTGCGATTCAGTGTTGAAAAATTTCTATAAAATTATATAGGATGTAATTCTAGACTGAGTCAAGAGACCAAAAGAATTGGGCTTACTCAGATCCGCATAGGTACCATGTCTGCATCATGAATTCTTTTAAATAATCTTTTGATTATTTTTCAGCAGTATCATAAAAATACACATACACTATATAACATTCAAAATGTATGTTGCATCACGGACATAAACATGTAATAATATATGGTCTCATTTGACATGAATTGAATTCTTTGGGTTTTTTTTCTTTTCTTTTTTAATTTTTATTTTGCTAGATTTATTTGACATGGTCATATATACATATATTAGACAAGACACTTAAACTCTTATGACACACCCACACTCAGATACATCCATGGTCATATATACATATATTAGACAAGACACTTAAACTCTCATGACACACCCATACTCAGATACATCCATGGTCATATATACATATATTAGACAAGACACTTAAACTCTTATGACACACCCACACTCAGATACATCCATGGTCATATATACATATATTAGACAAGACACATAAACTCTCATGACACACCCACACTCAGATACATCCATACATTTCATGAATTCATTAGCGTCACAATTATTGTGAAGGCATCAATTGACATCATACTTCAATCATCATCATCATCATCATCATCATCATCATCATCATCATCATCATCATCATCATCATCATCATCATCATCATCATCATCATCATCATCATCATCATCATCATTTGTGCCCTTCGCTAGATCCATCTTCATCACTGAACACTGAATATTTGTCGATTCATTATCTAAAAAGTGAAAAATCCTCGTAAAAATAGGTTCACAACAGCATGATGAGTTATCTCCCTTAACTCACAGATACTAGACAAATGGCCTTCGATTTCCTCATCAATATGACATCTGCTTGATGATTATGTAGATTTGTAAATAAATTTTAAGTATTTTTTTCAATTCAGAAAGGTATCAACAGGATTTTAAAACTGTCATCTCCTATTTATATGCAGTATATTCTGAAGGAATAGTTCGAGTGTATTATACAACTCATTGTGTAAAATAGTCACTTTAAAAATGAATCCAAATATCTGACGATGTGACATAGAAATAAAAAGGAAAGTAATAAGCACGGACTTATAAGCCACAATACAATGGTCACTATGGTAGCATCGATAGTTTCTCAATGTGGCCCATCCTCGATACTTTTGGAACATTTCCTGGCAAAATTGAAGACACAAGCAAAGTAATTTTATTGGTTTAGGCGGGTTTTCAGGGAAAAACCGACCAGTCGCTGACTGAAACGCTACTTTGAAGATTACAAAGGAATAATACCCAGCTTCAAAGCCATTACAACACAACGTCATGTGACATCAAGATTCGTTTGACGTAGTCTGTCAGTTATGTTGTGAAATGTTCAGGGTGCAGAGAGCGAAAGTGATTGTAACCCCAGAAGTATCGTGGATGAATGCACCCCCTGGAGTATCGAGGAAGAATGTGACCCCCTGGAGTATCGAGGATGAATGTGGCACACAGGAGTAACGAGGATGAATGTGGACCCTGGAGCAGTGAGGATGCATATGGCCCCTGGAGTACCGAGGGTGACCGTGGACCCTGGAGTATTGGGGATGAATGTAAACCCACTGGAGTATTGGGGATGAATGTGGCCCACTGGAGTATCGAGGATGAATGTAGCCCCCTGGAGTATCGAGGATGAATGTGATCCCCTGGAGTATCGAGGATGAATGTGGCCCAGTGGAGTATCGAGGATGAATGTGAACCCACTGGAGTATCGAGGATGAATGTGACCCAGTGGAGTATCGCGGATGAATGTAGCCCACAGGAGTATCGAGGATGAATGTGATCCCCTGGAGTATCGAGGATGAATGTGGCCCCCTGGAGTATCGAGGATGAATGTGGCCCACTGGAGTATCGAGGATGAATGTGGCCCACTGGAGTATCGAGGATGAATGTGGACCCTGGAGTATCGAGGATGAATGTGGCCCCCTGGAGTACCGAGGATGAATGTGGCCCCCTGGAGTATCGAGGATGAATGTAGCCCCTGGAGTACCGAGGATGAATGTGGCCCACTGGAGTATCGAGGATGAATGTGGCCCACTGGAGTATCGAGGATGAATGTGACCCAGTGGAGTATCGAGGATGAATGTAGCCCACAGGAGTATCGAGGAAGAATGTGACCCCCTGGAGTATCGAGGATGAATGTGGCCATCTGGAGTACCGAGAATGAATGTGGCCTCTGGAGTATCGAGGATGAATATGGTCCCTGGAGTAATGAGGATGCATATGGTCCCTGGAGTATCGGGGATGAATGTGGGCCCTGGAGTATCGAGGTGAATGTGCCCCCCTGGAGTATCGAGAATGAATTACCTTATTATGAAATATTTTTTTAACGTTTATAATCATAATGAAGTGGCAATGTGGGGCTTCATATTTTCGAGTTGATAAACGTGGTTATCACAAGTCAGAAATCTAACGGGAAGTATTTGCTTACACAATTTTTATTTGTCTATTGCATCTGCAATGGTTTTATAGTTGATATATATAATAGATGTAAGGTTTTCATAACCTGCTATACATGTAATATCTCAGACATATCCAACAAATCCAGGGAAAATGAACTGTTTGCTGCCACCTACACGTTCAGTGTAGCTGTCTATGCACACAAATGTTCATGTTATAGCTCTGTCAGAGGGGATACTATAACATAAAAGCTTATCTTCATCAAAATAGTAAAAACAAAAAATAGCGCGTTGTAGACTCTGATACTTATTTGATCAAAACAGACCCATTGGGTCTGTTGGTTTAGGTTCAGTTGAAGCCTGAATGTCATCTCAGAAATGTCTCTAGTGTCAAGATTGATTCGAGCACGACTTTAGGAAAATGAATATATAACATACAGTATATATGCTAACTGGATACAACACCTGACCTGAAAAGTCCACATACACTTTTCGCCCGTTAAGTTTTCAGGGATGATGATAGCAAAATGTTTATAATTTTATTAACTATTAATGTCCGCTTAATGCTATAAAACGATGTAGTTTGTTTGAATTGTGTACCCGTCAGAAACAGAGGTACATCTCTTTTCATTTGTGACGTCATATCGCTCGTGAACTATACATTCATAAACACACGTACATTATCATGAACGCATAATGGATCTAGGTAATGTATGACACAGCCATCAACTTATATATGGAGGAATTTGTGTAGTTGTACTACAGACAAGAAACACTGTCTTGTATAGTTACATATTTTCTTATGTGATTAAATAATATTATCATAGTAATTTGTAGTCTCGATTATATATATAAAATGTATTTATTACAAGCTCACAGACCCCTGCAACAATTTTGAGTTTGTTCAACGGCTGTTGTTTACCTGCTGGATCGCATTGTGAGGTTAAATAACAACACGACCTGTTTTCGTATAAACAACAACAATATCAAATATCAAGCCATTGTTTCGTAAATTGTAAAATGTAGCGGAATGTTTAAGTAACATAATTAAAATATTAAAGGAAAGAAAGTGTATCTTGTCTTAATTCTGCATACAAGCTGCAAATAAAGGCATGACGTGTCTAGCTCGTTTCCATATTGACAACATATTGAGATACATATCTCCGTGTCCTATCACCATAAAACAACAGGTCGAGAGAAGCATTGAAGACTGTCAGGAATGTGTGAAAGATCAAACATCTCTGTCCACACCTACAATAAAGAGTCTCTGAGCATGTTCACCATACACTGCGGTTCGTTAATTATTAAGGCTGATCACAGGTAACACCGCCGAGTGTTTCGGTGTCTAGTTAACGCAAAAAAAAAACAACATTGTAATTGGGGCTAAGATTGTGTTATCTGTTTGTTAGCATAATTAACTTATTTTTGGGTTGTAATTAGCATGCTAATTGATTTAACAGCCACGCTAGTGCGTACATACAAGAACACGTACCAATTAAAGGTCAGATACCATCTTGTCGTCCCCCTTCCGCTCCAATTATCAACACAATTTTCCATTATACACTGACCTGTATATCAGGAATGTACTTGATTTAAATGCATGTTTGTAAATATATATTAAGCCACTCTCCCTGTTATATACATCAGGGTTAAGATATATCTAAATAGGATTGTTTCCTTATGTTTGCGATAATATCTACTTATTAAGGTTAAGATTGTGAACAGCACTTTTAGATATTTGCAAAAATGTCTCAGAAGTGGAACGTTTGTACATTCCTGTACCTTGTAGATTTAACCTGACGACGGTGTTTTGTTAAGTCTGTCATAAAACTAGGAAACAATGTCACTTAACTGTCTAATGTATCACACTTTATTGATCTAAATTGTCGTGTATGTTATAATACAACTTTCTAAAGTAATCGTGATATACTAACAAGCACTCGCTCTTGATGCATGATACACAAATAAACAAAGTATTCTCAACATTCTCTGTCTGTCTGTCCGTCAGACTCTCTCTCTCTCTCTCTCTCAACTTGTTATAATTGTTTCATTTTTATAATATCATACTGCCACCTTGTAAATGTAAGGTGTGTGCATTAACATGTTTGGAAAGGGATTTACATAAGTTGTTAATCTTGTGTCAAATCCTATTGCTACTTATGTGCAATATACTTTAATATACTTCAATTACAGACTGTATGGATGATACACAACTATAGTATGCGGAACTAAGATAACCTTGTTGAGGTTATGAAGAATTCTCTCACTTGGTTTTCCTTTTTTTATTTATTTATTTTGACAATCACATAATTTGTTATCGCTATTTATGGAGAAGTACCGAATGGGCCATTCTCGAACTACATGAAGATTTCCCTTAGTCTTTAATTGTGGTTTGTCGATTTTTGGACTGGCCGAAAAAACTAAATGGCTGACAGTC